CTTATCTTATCTTATCTTATCTTATCTTATCTTCTTATCTTATCTTATCTTATCTTATCTTATCTTCTTATCTTATCGTATCGTATGGTATCATATTGTATCTTATCTTATCTTACCTTCATATCTTATGCCCATCTAACAGTCATTGTGTCAGATGGGCACATGATATTACATTATATTGATCGCAGACATGTAAACTGAATTGAATTGAAATCATATTGTGACAGACTTTGTGATATCAAGAAATATCAAATCGTCATCCAAACATATTGATGTAATATTGTATCATGATAAAGGTGGTGATTTACACCCCCTAGTGCAGTGCTGCATGTGTGAGAGGATAGTTGTTTTTGTTTTTGACTTAAAGATAGCAGAACTCAATTTTGCGATGCTAATTGCTCTGCTAACGGTTTAAAGTTAGCCAAAACACTGATTCGTTAAACTTCACCGTTAGCGGATTAGCAGAACTGTGCCCACAACTGTAAAGAACCATGAAATGTCAATCAGTAGCTCAAAGTTGGTCAAATCCAGAACAGGTGAAAATGACAGCATGTAATAAACTCAGACTCTGACTTACCTTCAACTCTGGCCTCATCGGGGGTGATCGTGGCGCACTTCACAGCCACGTTGTATTTCTTCGTTGCCAGAGCGGAGTCGATGGTGACCTGGTCGTCCGTCTGGTCTCGGTAAGGCAGACCCAGGTCGAAGTACTTCAGCTCCACGTCCACGTTTGGTAAGATGAGCTGAAAAGGGGTTAACAGGTTATTTGTGTAAAGAAATCAGGATTTATGAGATCTCTTTTTTTTTCTTCAGTCAACCTTCTCTTTGATGAACTCCCAAATGATGCGAGTCATTTCATCTCCGTCCATCTCCACCACCGGCTGGTCCACTTTGATGCGCTTTGTTGAATCTGAAAAAAGTGGTTAGGGGACCATGTAGTTAAAAATGCGCGAAGTAGCAGTGTCAAAATATGTTTGATAAATTGCTGTGGAACTGTTATTGTAATTGAACAAATTCAACTGGTAAATTTAGTAATGTATTTGTAATGTATTTGCTCTAAACTACATGTTAAACTCAAGGCCTGCAGGCCAAATGAGACCCGCCACTGCTTTTTAATTAGCCCGCGAGACCTTCAAAGATATGTTAAAGTCTTAAAATAAGTGATTTACAGCCAGCACTGATCGTAAACTACATCTCCCATAATGCAAATTATTGTACCTGCAAAACGATGGCATCCCACTACTCAGTGGAGGTGCACAGAGTTCAAAGGTAGCCAGCAATGCTGTTAAATAGAGAGAGTCGTACTGGGAATTGGGAATTTCCCACTTACAAGTTGTAAATTTAACCTGGAATGGAATTCTTAGTTGGAAAGTGGGAGAAATCTGACTACAGCATGATCAAAACTCAAGATGTTAGCTGCTACTCACCACAACAGTGAGTAAAACGTTCTTACCTTTACTTTAGTATTTCTGTATTATTCATTTCACATTTTCTCAGTCACACTCAAAGTACGTTTCAGTGTTTATATGAGGATGTGTAAAACTGTTTCTATGCAGGAAATACCATGTAGAGCTCAGTTATTGTTTGTTAGCAGTGCTCGTCCATAGCAATGAGGCGAGAGGCTTTAGTCTAAGTTAATTACAAATGGTCCTTCGAGGGCCACCATAACGTCCTGATGCATCTAAGTAATCCAGGTAAAAAATCAAAAAGAAAAAAATTGTATAGGTCTTCTGGACGGGTTCTTCTCTAATGAAACGACTCCCACCACCCACTGGAACACAAGTTAGGAGTGATCAGGACTCTGTACCACAGAGCAGACAGTGTCCCTACAAACCCAGGAGCCAGGCAG